ATAATTTTTCTAGCGATTCCCTCTCGTTTCCCTGTCCCTTGTGGTACTTCGCGCCTTAAAAAACGACGACCACATTGCCCAACCGTGTATGTGTCATCGCGTTTTAATGGGCGAACCCTGACCACGTGCCGAGTTCCCTGGGCCGGGAGGCGGAGGCGCAGAAGATGAGGTGATTTCCAAAACGCCATTCGGAAACCTGGGCCAGACCGGAAATGGACGCCGGGAAGCTCGGCCCTTTGACGCTGAGCCACAAGTAACTAACACTGCGAAGCTGAGAGATCTGAGGGGGATCAAAACAGTTAAACCGGTTCTCTTCTGGGTGACGTGTCTAATTGTGTCGTCACTGGAAAGAGAACTGTGTAGTCTACGAAAGCTTTTTTGGGGTGACAGGTACACGTGTGCAACCTTTTGTGTGATCGCAACCCTTGCACGATCGTAACACGAAGGCCGTGACCCGCAGCCGAAATCCTCCCGTTTACTCCAAGGCATCGATTTTAATTGTTTTTTTTTTTTTTTCACTTATTTGCAGAACACTTCCTGAAAAGCCCCAGCCCGAGGCCTTCTCATGGACGAGTCGAACATGACATCTTTTGTGGTCGAACAGTCCGCGAACGCCTCATCCGACAGGAACGCCTCCGTCGGGGACCCGCACCAGAAAATCCCAGTCGTGCACTGGGTCATCATGAGCCTCTCCCCGCTGGGCTTTGTGGAAAACGGAATTCTGCTCTGGTTCCTCTGCTTCCGGATGAGGAGAAACCCTTTCACGGTCTACATCACCCACTTGTCCATAGCGGACATCTCGCTGCTCTTCTGCATTTTCATTCTGACTGTCGACTACGCTTTAGATTATGAGCTCTCTTCTGGCTATTACTACACAATTGTCACCTTGTCGGTGACGTTTCTGTTTGGCTACAACACAGGCCTCTACCTGCTGACGGCCATAAGCGTGGAGAGGTGCCTGTCGGTCTTGTACCCCATCTGGTACCGGTGTCATCGCCCTAAGCACCAGTCGGCGTTCGTCTGCGCCCTCCTGTGGGCGCTGTCCTGTTTAGTGACCAGCATGGAATACGTCATGTGCATTGACAGCGAAGGGCAGAGTCACTCCCGAAGTGACTGCAGGGCGGTGATCATCTTCATAGCTGTCCTGAGCTTCCTGGTCTTCACCCCGCTCATGGTGGTGTCCAGCACCGTCCTGGTGGTGAAGATCCGAAAGAACGCGTGGGCATCTCACTCCTCGAAGCTGTACATGGTCATCACGGTCACCATCGTCATCTTCCTCATTTTCGCCATGCCCATGAGACTCCTCTACCTGATGTACTACGAGCACTGGTCGGCGTCTGGAAACTTCCACCACATTTCTCTCCTCTTCTCCACCATCAACAGCAGCGCCAACCCCTGCATCTACTTCTTCGTGGGCAGCAGCAGGAAGAAGCGGTTCAAGGAGTCCTTAAAGGTCGTTCTGACCAGGGCTTTCAAAGATGAAATGCAGCCCAGGCGCCAGGAGGACAGTGGCAATGCCACCGCCATCGAGACCGTCGTCTGAGGGAGGCAGAGGGGCACGGCAGGCGGAAACGGTGGGACGCAGGCCATCCGTAGTTTGTGCTCGAACTACAACCTAAGTATCTCCTACATACGATCCAGAAGGACACCACATCCCACACGCATGACACACTGACTAACCGCGAGGTTGCCTAAATACGGTGCCGTACCTCGGTCATGTCTGTACCTGTCAAAAAAATGCTTTCTCTCCCCCCTCAGCGGCTCCCCGTAAACTATAAAACTTATTCTAGTGGGCAGGGTGGCAGATGTGTACGTGAAAAGGTACCAAAAGCATGTGTTGGCTCTTGAGGCGGTGGAGCATTGCAGCAGGAAGAACATGCGTGTCGGAGTCAGGCTGACTGTCACTTGCTGCCTGTGTGACCTCAGGCAAGTGGTTTAACCTCTCGGAGCCTGGTTTCCTCACTTGTAACACGTTTGACAGCCGTGGTCCCTACCCGGGCTCGTGGGGAGGATGAGATGGGAAGATTAGGGGTGCAAAGCTTGGGGCGTTGTCAGCGTTGGACAAATGTCGGTCTCTCCTCACTTCTTTAAGTGGAAGAAGAAATACGTCCTTCTGTAAAGCACGCACGCAGCCCTACCGTGTACGAATAGTGTCGTATGTTTTTCAGTGTGGAGTGGAACTCTAGGAGGGTCTTTCCACTTGCAGCGGGAAAGCGGGGCGTGGTGGGCGCTGCCGTCGACAGCGTCTGCAGATGTCACGAGACCCAGCCGGCCAGATGTCAGAGCATCGTTTCAGGTTGGGAGGGAGAACATTTGGCCGCCAGTGGCGGGGTTTCTCGTGACTTCCCTCCCCTCCGTGGGATGCTCGATGTGCTGGGATTCTGTTTTGACATGCTCTGCTCGGTATAAATTTTCATGAATGGAACTCGATTCGGGAGCTCACGAGGGTGATTGTGTTTCTGGACCCCTCCCCCGTGAAGTGGTGGGTTAGTCGTTCGTAGCCACGCGGTTCTCCCTGGACGCCAAGGGCTGGTTCCTGCACCTCTGGGCCCCCTCTCCCCATGAGCGTTTCTGTGTGTCATTCCCAGAAGGAGGCTCGGCCGCAGGGGCTGCTGAGCGAGGGGCCACATCTCGGAGGGAGCTTTGCGGGACCTCCTCGGGGTCTTAGGCCTCTGCCGCTCTCCGCTGTGCCTGTGTCTGTGTCTTGGGACGGCGTGTCTCAGGTTGTCGTGGGGAAACCTGTCGTGGCCTATTGACATCACTATGTTCAGTTTCTGTTTGCCTGTTCCAGGTGCCCCCACAAAAGTGGCAGTGCTTCACATGGCTCTGTGGAGAGTAAGGTGTTCAAGCCCGTTAGTATTTAACCGTCTCCGAAGGGTGACAGAGGTCGCGGTGAAAGCTGCTCTGTTGCCACTTGCTTCTTCCCCATCCTCTTCCTTTCGAAAGAAACAGTCGCCTGTAGGCGTGGGGGGCAGCTTCGCCGGTGGAGACGTGCCAGTCTCCCCGCTTGGATGCAGGCGGCTTTTCAGTGGGTGATGACATCTGATTCAGAAACAAGGCAGCTTGCTTTCAGGAGCCCCAGATGGATGTGGAGAGATGACATTTAGAACGGTCTTGTTTTTTGATTGAAAACAGAGCATCTTCACCGGGAAAGAGGAGACTGTAGAGATCGGAGTGGCTCTCTGTTTACCATCAGCTCCCAGATGCTGCGCTGGCCTCTTGGTCAGTGAAAAGGGGATCGCCCTCACTTGCCTCAAAGGGATCCTGGTCTGGAAGAGGAACTTACAGGCTCTTAGAAACAAGGGATTTTTACCCAAGGACAATACAGCGAACTAGTGGGAAGCTCTCATTCATGGCCTTTCTGCAGATGAAGCGGGGAGATTAAACGTGTTCATGAAAACAACATTCTTCTAACCTTTGAGAGAGTCGTGACTGGCAAAGAGGTAGGATTCAGGGTTTGGCAGTGTCGTAGGCACAAGTCCGTCTCTTTCCTCACCTAAATTCATCCCCAAGAGTAAAGCATGAGGCAAACACTAAAACAAGAAGATGTAGGTAAACACGCACATACGGAGAGTAGACGTGATGATTCCTCCCCACTGGACATTCAGACAATGTGCCACGTCGTCGTAGGTCAGGAGGCGCCATGTCTGAGAATCCCCTTGTTCAGGCGTGATGCCCGTCCTTGACAAAGGCGGTCTGCGGCATCCGGGCTCCCCATATTCGTGGATGGCCTTCTCCGCCAAACTCCACCATGTGGACAAGGCCAAGAAGAGCAGGCGGGAGCCCCTGGGGTCTGGGACAGGAGAGGGAGACGCACATGGGTGTCTACAGCTCCAAGCTGCACACAAACCAACGTCGGGAGCGGGCTGCGGGAGTCGTGTGGCACAGGAGAAGGTGAAGTCACATCGAAAGGACCGTTTCCTGGAGGTGCCCTTTGGTGGCTTGAAGGCTGGGGGGTGGGGATCCGGGCAAAGGACAGGCGTCAGTGAAGGCCAGACGAGGCGGCGTGGGAGAAGCGAGCCCAGTCGTCCACGCTTCTGCAGCCTGGCCGGAGCAGAGGCCCTTGGAGACCCATGCAGTCCTGCCGACCACCCCCACCCCCCACCCTTCTCTGTTGCTGTTATCGTTAGCCTCCTGGGCCCACATTCTTCAAGTTCCTTGAAATGTGACTCCCAGGCCGTCTGTCCACATCCACGCTCGCCATCATCCAGCCTTGCCGCGCTGGCGCTGGCGCTGGCGGCTCTAATTTCTACGAGCCACCAGCCCGCACCGGCCTCCCTGGCCTCCCTCTGTGTGTCAGGGCCGGGAACCCTCAGCTCCTGTGTTTTCCAAGCTCCGCTCTGAGCCTTATTGCAACTCAAGCGGATCTACTCCTGGAAACTAAAAGCTCGCAGTTCTGCGGGCCGAGCACGACCGCCTGCCCCTTGCCCCTCGCGCCCTCGCCCCCACTGCCCCGGATTTCTGCACCGCGGGCACCTCCTGCCTCTCACTGGCGAGTTGGCCGCGTCTGAGTCCCTTCCGCGTCGCCGTCTCTGTCCCTGCATGGAGCTCCGGCGTCTTCGCCGGTCACTCTCACCGAGCTCCTGGATGGTCTTGCCCCCTCGCTGACCCGTTCTGCCCTCCTGCTCTGCCCGCCCCGGCCCAGGCTTCTGAATGGCACGGAGCAGGGAGCGCTCACTGCGGGAGGTCAGGGCTCCTGCACAGTCTGGTCCCAGCCTGTCCCCCATCAGGGCCCCCAAACCTCTTCCCCTCGCCCTGCAGCTCTTCCAAACTTCCCCTCCCTCCTCACACTCTTAATCTGGTACTTCCCCCCCCACCACCACACCCATCCCTGTCTCCCCACTACCTGGCTTCATCAGCACCTCTGGGACCCTCCCCACCATCTGGGAGAAGCCCCTCAACGCCGGTCCTTTCCTCCTCTTCTCCCGTCTGAAGACTTTTCTCCTCTTCCAATTTTTTTCTCTACCAGCCTCCCAGACAGTAACCTTACTCCAGCCGTCAAAGGCGTGCGCGTGCGTGCGTGTGCATGGGCATGTGTATGTGTGTGCATGTATGCACATGTGTGCTTGCGTGCGTGTGCGTGTGCGTGTGGTGTGCATATATGCATGTGCATGTGTGTGTGGTGAGTGTAAACAAGCAGGTCCTTACCGCAGTCTCCGAGGTTCTGCGAGCCCCGGGCCCTGTCTAACGCTGGGCCCCTCCGGGGTGGTGCGGCCCCCTCCCCCAGCCGCCCCCTCCTCCTCGCAGTTCTCACAAAGTGCCCAGTGCGCTCCTCTTTCTGGACTGCCACCTTCGATGCTCCTTCTGCCTGGAATGACTCCACCAGGGCTCCGCTCGCCTCTTCTGTCCCCTCGGGCTTCTGGTCAGATGCCACCTGTGCCGGGAAGCTCTCCTTGGGTGCCGCTCCCAGGCGCCACCTCGGTTTCTCCTCAGCGTTTGTCACCGCCTCCGGTTCCCCATGGGTGTGCTAGTCTGTCGTTCTAGACGATTAGCTCCTGGAGGACAAGGACCTTCTCCTCCTCGTGGCTGTGGCCCCAGCCCCTGGAAGAGCAGGCAGGTGTCCTTGTTCGCTGAGGTGGGACCCACCTCACAGGTGCACACAGGCTCAAACCGCTGCCACCTGAACACCGTCCCGTGCGCAGGCCACCCCCACAGCCCCTTCTGCTCCTGTCCCATCTCCCCGTCCCTTCCCGGCCGGCCTTCTGGGAAGGCTGTCCCACACTCACGGCCACGCTTCCTCCGTTACCATTCACCCCTCCACACCAGGCCCGCTGGCTTACGACCCTCCTGCCACACTGACACCAGCCCAGCTAGGAATGCGAGTGACTTCCACATCGGCACATCCGCCGGTCTCTTCTCTCCCTCCACCTTCTGTGGCGTTTGGCCCGGCTGACCACCGTCTTCTTGCAAACATCCCTTTTCTTGAACTCTAGCTAGCCGTTCCCCCTCTTGCTCTCATCTGAATCCCGTCCCCCCATCCAGAGTCTTCTCACCTCCCATCACTCTTCCCCAGCTCCCCGCTTCGGGGGCCATGCTTCCCGGCATGCAGTGGCCGGGCCCCCGCTCTCTCCTCCCGCACACTCTCCCCGGTGTCCTGATCCACGATGGCTTCCATACGAATGACCCTCAGAATGACACTGACCGACCAGAACCCTTTGCTGCGCTCTACCTCCTGAGGGTCCTCTATGTCCCACCGCCTAGTGGACGTTTGGACTAGCTGCCCTGCAGGACCCACCATTTCGCCTATGTTCCTTTCTCAGCAGACGACACCACCAGCCGCCTCGTCACTCGAGCGACTCCATTCCCTTGCCGTAGATCGTCCTTTCTTGTTTTCGACCCAGCCAGCACCGTCCATCCACCTGCGTCCATCGCACGCGTCGGCCACTCGGGCGTGCCTCCTGGAATGACCATCCCTCCAATGCTAGTCTTCCCACAGCTCTTCCCCACCCCGCCCTCAGCTGATGGTTTTCCTCCCTTTTCACAAGGATAGAAACCACCAGAAGAAATCTTCCACCCCTTCCCCACACCCTGTCCGCTGACCCA